GACCCAGAGAGCAACTCCCAGTCCACTGCTTCTTCCCTTTTGCGTATTCTGCTTCCTGTCAGATCAGACGACTCAGCGCATTAAGGCCAAAATGGCGACATTTTTCGCATTGTGTGCCTCTCTTTTCTTCCAATGTCATCGATGCTTTTTTCTTAGGTAACTTACCAGCCATAGCTTCCATTCTCATTCCACACACTATAAAAATATAAACTACACTATTCCTTTCTTTTTCCTTCTGAAGCAAATGGTAAACACACAACTTAAACGGTCTAACAGTGCAGCATCTCATGAATAGCACTTTTCAGCTCCCAATGAACTGTATTGGTCCGAGTTTCTTCTATATATGATGGCTTAAAGAAGAGTTTAAGGAGTAATATGTCCACGAGAGAAAGAAGTGCATAATGGCTTAAAAGCTCCTGCTTAAAATTGACCTCAAGGTCAGCAACCAATTGCGAAGTATCCCCACATTCCGTTGGCTAATCTCACACAATTCATCAAGTCAAATTATAGTGTTTAGTCCGTCCATACATAATTGTTGCAGGTAAGTAGGGAAAAAGAAATAGGTTGGAAACTTACGACCTCAGCTTCTACGTCTAGATGATGATAGGGAACTTAATCAATTATTATGAGTCAGGAAACGGAACTGTCACAGCCGATCAGTAACTTTTAGAGGAGAGAAAATCTTACAGATCTGGAACAATTGAATCATCCATGACCAAACTGCTAAAAGCGTTTGGATTTTATACAAGCACAGGATAACAATAAAATTGTAGCCACGGTCTTAATTTGTCCCATCAACTCCCATTATTGAAGTTAAAACAACTCGATCAGCTCATATCAGTTGGGAGCTCTTCAAGGAGAAGGAAATTAACAATAACTGCAACGAGCACATTGGAATCCGTTGGCACAAATCTCCAAGCCATCTATAGAACAATGCAAATCTTTTGTTAGTCAATTTACAGGAGGAGAATGGCCAATGCATATAGAAAAGAGGATAGATCATCCAGAAAGATACATGCATAGCTGGCTATTAGAAAAATTGCAGACATGAAGAAGAGGAAAAATGAGTTGAACCTAGGGCCTCATAAACTTAAACTTTTTAATTAAAGAACTGTGTAATGCGTTGGTATTTTCCATAACTATATTATCTAAACATCCGGCAAATAACTGGCCAAAACATGAATATTCCTACTTACAGAACAGGAAATGATTCGATATATTATGACAAGCTAAATCTCTCTATCGGACATTCTACAACTGGAGTAAATAGTTTCCATTCAGATTGGATAGTCATGAATTTTCCTACTTACGGAACAGGAAATGCTTCAATATATCATGACAAGCTAATTCTCTCTCTCAGACATTCTACAACTGGAGTAATTAGTTTCCATTCAGATTGGATAGTCTAGAAGGTCTGTAGTGTTAAGTGACACATTAACAACCACACTATAACTTAAGGGAACAAAACGAAAACCAGTTATAGCTTGACTTGATGCAAAGCTTGTGCATATGCTCCATAACTCCCAAACCCAATGTTTAGGATGTCAACTCCAAATTGTTCCACAGTCTGAACTTCTAAAGGTAAAGGTGGGTTCTGAGTCTTCCATTAAAGTGTCCTACAACTACCAGCATCCTTAATCTCATTTCTTCCTCTCATTCTCCTCTCTCTTTTCAGGTAGGTGGGGAAAAATGCTGTGAAAACATTGCTAAGGGCAAACAAACTCTACTATATTTCTTGATGCACTTCCCTCCAAAACTACCTTAAAAAATATTTATGAAACTCTCTTTCTCTCTGAGTTTACGTATGCTCACGCACAACTTACATACTCTCTTTGATGGTTTTTTGGTGCCAACTTACATACATCTCACTATGTGGCTGCCTGGCATTAACTCACGTATTTCTCTCAAATGCTCAACATTTTTCTCTCTAGGCTTTACCAAAGACAGTAACCCGCAGACATATCAGTAGACATCATAAGCCACCCCTTGCATGAAGGGTTCCACAGTCGAATGCCATCTTAGCTTGCAATTACTTGGGCGCCGATACACCTGGTCATGGGCCTGGTAGACCATGGCCTGCCCCCGCCACATTAAACCGAAGGGCACTTTTGGGCAAGCTTGGACAAGGTTTTCCACTTATAAAGCCCAGCCCAGCTGGGCACGTGACGGCCCGGCCCAACCATTTTATACAAGTTTCTTTTTTATTATGCATGGGCCTGGGCAACACTTTAGGCCCGGCCTATGGGCTCGGCTCAGCATGGCCCAGCTCAGGTGTGCCCATTGATCTCCTCTAGGCACCAACTTTCATTACCAAGTATTCAAATAATTATATAGCATAAAAGAAAGTATTCAATCACTTGGTCAAATTGTCTTCAACTTTCATCATTGCTCCAAGTAGAAAAATTCAGACTTAAATAATTTTTTACCACGCACAAAATAAAATGCAGCCACAACACACACATATATAATTTTGTAAAAGAATGCCCTTAGAAAACTCATAAAACAGTTGACTAATGAGAAATTCCCCCATGACATGCATAATCAATTCTTTGAAATGGATTTCATAATGTGGAAACCACTACATTATCAAGATCATGATCCATCCATGAGCCTCCAAATTGGATGAGAATTGCCAGTCACAGAAAAGCTTGTGGTGAATCAGTGGAGACCAAATCAGGGAGTTTCCTATATATTGTACAACGGATATAATAATTCGCATTTACTTGTGCTAAATATATACTCAATGGTAACACGAGTGTCAGTATCAGGAAAATACATAAAATTGGAATAAATTAACACATACATCATTTAAGAGGCGATCCTGAGATTGCAATACCGGAAGCTCACTAGAGAAGGGAAAGATGCTGCTATGCATCCAGTCTCTACTTTTTTAAGAAACAGTAAAACTTGACCACAGAGGCCCTATTAACCAATGAGACAACCTCAACATAAATCAGCTACATAAACCACGTCAAGATAGCTAGTCAAAAAGCAGGATTCATGAACAAAAGTTTGAATGGCGATTATAATGAGGCTATACAATAAGTGCAGTTATCTTGTCTTGTAACACCACCTTTGGTAATAAATCGCTTTTAATTCACGAGAGTAGAAACCAACAGAGGCAAGATCACTGGGCTGCGCTTGTGCATTTAGCTTCAAGAAGAGAGGGCCCAAAACAATTTTTCTCCAAGCCTTTAGGCAGAATCTACTTTGTCTTGGGGAATCAGAATTGCATGAAAGTCTTTTTGTACCTCAAGAGACATATACATCATTTCTAAGTTTACTGGATAGTCTGTGAGGCAACAGAGAAAAAAGGAATTCGTCTATAAGGTATTATTATTCAGCTTCTGTTCTGACTTGATCTAATAAGGGACACCAAGTGTCATCAACAGCTAACATTTCACAAGACAACTTCAGACTGCACATTGCAGTCTGCAACCAATTGACTTACACAAAACCTTAACGCATCACAAGACAACTTTTAAAAAGAGGATTTCCAGGCTCCAGCCCCTGCACTGTTTGAATAAGTGTCAACCTGGCCCTATTCAGAAGCTTGCATTCCATTCTCATTACTAGCCACATCTAGACGCCTTTCAATTTCGCAATCTTGATCTCGCTTGAGACGAAGAATTAAAATTTTCCAAGTCAAGCCACTATTAAACAATGGAAATGTATATTAAGCATATCCTTTCTATTGAAGTTTAAACCTTTTCAACAGCATATTTCACTTTTTCAAACCACCATTCAATTTGAAATCTTCATCCAATCAAGCCTTGGACCTTCCACTGCACTTTTTCTAACCCCAGGCAGACATAAAAACCATATTTAGCTCCTTAGCAACTTACTAATGGATTCCACGCACAATCTATAAAGCAAAAGGATTCTTTTCTCTCAAGAACTGCTCCATTGGTGATTATACGAATCACAATATGTAGAAAGGTTGAAATGCCAGAAAGTTGATGACAGAATCCAGAAGGGAGATGATATTTCATTAGTCATTTGTCACATTTCTTATATGATAGTTTCCCCACACAAGGTAGCCAGATTCCTAGTAATCTAATGCAGTTAATGTACATCAGTGATATCCTAAGAATGTAACAGTTCTTATCTCCCAAGTGATCTATGGACAAAGAACAAATCATGAAGCATCCAACTTCACATTTTCTCTAAGGTAAAATGAGTTTAAAACGGCCCGAATCCCTGAAGAATAGAATAGGAGAACCTCAAAGTCAATCCATGCTCAATCAGTTTTTTTACATAACACATCCCTTGATTTTTCGAAACTATGCTAATCTCCCTCATATGGTTGGCAAACCTACCAATTCTTGCATTTCCAGTGAAACGGTACAAAGAAGTATCCACAACACAACAATCATTGATAACGTCGAAAACTATACAATCACTGCATCACATTGGTTAAACGGCTGCCTTTTGGCAATTACTTCAGGTTGGACGGTCATGTATTGCAATAAAGTCGCCTTGGTGACAGACATAGAGAGAGAACCAATCCCCACCAAACAACCAGAAGCCCAAGGGAGACCACTCACACTGACTCTATATCTTCTTTCTCAATGATAAGACCAAGTAGCATGACAATGAACAGGTTCGAAACAAACCACACGTCGGTTTAACCCGCGTAGGCCACCCACAAAATAATTCTCAGTGAAATTCGTCCTCATATGTATTGTCCAAGCAAGGAACAATATCCATCTTTCTGATACCACATTCCATTGCACCGCTATATAAACAAGAGAAATTCATGAAACCATAAAGCTCGCTCGCAAGCACGGATGCACGCAGGGCGAGAGAGAGAGAGAGAGACGATTCCCAGCATCCCTTCATATTAGTTTCCGATTCCCCAAAATCATCTCACTGTTAGGTTCATATTAGCGGATATCAGAGAAATCATTCGCCCATTCAATTCAACATTCCCTCGTCATACCACCATCCCCATCACCCACTGAAACCTCACAAATTTCGAATCTCGAGCACGAATCACGTACCTATCGCTGGTAACCGCCGCCGATCGTGTCCATATCCTCCTCGACCTTAGCGGTCAGGTAAACCGGGGGGAACTCCTCGGGGGAGAAGCTCGTCCTCTCCTTCATCATCTTCTCCACGTCCGGCTTCTTCAGCACCGTCTTCCGGATCGGAGGCCGGTTGCGGCGCTGGTCCCGGACGAAGTACTTGATGTCGTAGACCGTCTCCGGGTCCGAGGTCGGCACGCACGCCTGGATCGGGAACGTCGCGGGGCTCGGGACGCGGTACTCCGTCGCCTTCGGGATGGACGGCCTGTACTCCGGCGAGGCGCACGGGCCGGTGATGTCCCACGGCTTCTTCAAGTAGCGCTTTAGGGATTGCACGATCTTCGCCATTGCAGAGAGAGAGAGAGAGAGAGAGAGCGAGACAGAGAGTTGCGGTGAAGGCGGAGGGAGAGGCGAAGGTGAAGGTGTGAGACTGAAGAGAAGCGTCGTCGTTTCGGTAGCTCCCCGTGATTTCAACCAAGGGCAAGCAAGAAGGCCCGGCCGAATCTGAAACCACCCGGATCGGACCGGACCGGACCGAACAAACCGGTTTGGTCAGGTTCCCAATCAATCCTCCTCCCCCAAACTTTCAGAAGTTAAACTGATAAGAACAGAAAGGCGAACTGAAAATTAATGTTGACGGCGCTCTTGGGGAGGGAACGACTGACAGTGCCGTTGCGTGCATATGTCGGGATTTTACTGGGAGCCTCGTCGCCGGTCACACTAGATCGGTAAAGGCCTCCACTCCGGTGCAAGTCGAAACCCTAGCTTTGATCGAAGGTCTTCGGTTCGTACAGAGAAGGAGTTTGGGTAGAGTTTGTCTTCAGTCAGACCGACTAGATTTGATACGTGCTCTTACCTCTGCAGATCAGTTCCCCTGGGACGCGCGTTTGCTTATCAAGGAATGCACTTCCCTTCTCGCGGGCCTTCCGTCTATTAGGCTTGAATTCGGCCCAAGAAGTTCAAATATGGTGGCTGATTGGGTTGCGAAATCTCATAAGAAGCGGTGTCTCCCTCGTGACTGGATTTCTTTTCCCCCACAAGCCCTTTGGGCTTTGCTATGTAAAGATGCTCCCTCTGCGGGCCCCGTTGGTTAGAACTTATACGATATAAATAAAAGTCTCGTTTTCGACCAAAAAAAAAAAACTTTCAGAAGTTATATCATCTTCAGTAATAACACAAAAAAAATTTATATTTGAGAGCTCTTCTCCACTAAAACAATTATTACAAAATTACAAAATTGATTTCAAAGAGGAAAAATGTACGTACCTAGCCGTTGTAAACATAATGAAACTTGGGGTATGTTTGTTTTGGTGAAAGTGTTTTTCGAACTTTCATCCGTTTGATTCTTTGAAAATGATTTGGTCAACGAAAAATACTTTTTGGTCAATACAAATATCATGTTTAATTTTAGGAAAGTGAATTCCTTAATCTAAGAAGGTGAAAATACTTTCCGGAATTGCTCATCTTGAATTTGTTAATATTTTTTCTTGTCTTTTCTTTTCTTTTATTTTTCTTTTCTTTCTAAGAAAGAAAACAATCGTGTATTTTCTTTTCTTAATAAAAATATTTTAAAAATATAAAATAATTTGAAATAATTTAAAAAATATATAAAAAGTTATATAATTTTCACCATCATATTTTCCTCACCAAACAACTGAAAATACTTTTCAAGTTTCTTTTTTAGATTTTAGCCAAACACCGAAAAATGAACTCATTTTCCTAGAAAGTACTTTCCGAAAATGGTCCATTTTCCGCAAAATAAACGGACTCTTGATGTGAACTCAAATTGCAATAACTATTATAAGTTATGTACAATAAGTAACCGATTCCATTGGACCAGATTGGAACCGAATCAAACCAGTGGTCTGATCTGGTCCCTGATTCCAAAAATCGGGAATCAATCCTTCTAATTCGGTTCTCGGTTCCCCGGTGGAATCGGTTTGGACGAGAAATCAATCGCCTCTAATTTCAATGAGATCGCTTCAGTGGGGGCAATTGCACTTGAGGATCATTTTTTTGTCTAAATAGCCCCCACCTCTAATCTTTTATATAATTTATGCAATTAAGTCCCTAAATTATCACCCAACGTGTAATTAATGTCATGTTCGAACCCTCTATCATTCAATCAAGTCCCTAAAGCCATTTTGAATTTTGACTATTGTGTTTTAACTAAATCGGATTAATGAAATTTGCTGATGTGAGCACCGATTTAACAAAAATAACATTGAATGGAAGAAATTTTATGCGCAAGTTTTATGCACGTACATATTCACTTGGAATCGGGAAAAAAAAACGTGTGCACCATTTTTACCTATAAAATTAGACATTCCTTTGTTCAATCACTTTAGAGAGGCGTTCCCGCTCACTAAATCCTCTGGAATATAAGACTTAAAAAAAATCCTCTTGAATAATGCTTTTTTTTGTTTTATTTTATCATATAAATTTTCATACAAACACAAGAAAATCAAGCAAATCAGAATTGAAATCTGTTCTTTGTGATGGGTATAGATAATTAAGGCTCCGCTCGTTACACAGAGAATATGATAATTTTGGAAAATATTTTTCGGAAAGTCATTTTCTAAGAAAATAATAATATTTTTCGATGTTCGTTTGAGATCTGAAAATTATTTTCTATCGTTCGTTATGAAAATTTGATTTGATTTTCCTCCTTGTATTCCTTTTAATAAATTTTATTTTATTTTTATAAAAATTCGAATTGTTAATTATTTTATTTTTGAATTTTAATAATTTTTTTATATTTTTTCTCTTTTTTTTCTTTTCTTTCTTCCTTTACTGGTTGCCGGTGACAGTGACGACCAGCGACCGGCCACAAGCAAGGGACGAGCTCGTCGGCCTCGCCTTTGGTCATAGGGAAAATGAAAAATAAAACGAAAAAAAGAAAACAAAAGAAAAATAAAATAATTAAAAAGAAAAGGAACATGATTTCCTCTCTTCAAAAAGAAGAAATCATCTTCCCCACTTTTGAGATTGTTTTTTTTATTGAGGAAAAATATTTTTCGCAAATCGAATGCCGGAAAATCTAGAAAACATTTTCTTTGAAGTTATTTTCTGCAAAACAAACGGAACCTAATTTTCTTTCTTCACTCTTTTTTTAACTTGATTTCAACTTTGAGAAGGAAGATCACAATGTCAGATGCACTGTTTTAATTGAATGAGCGATTTTATCATGGTTTTAAGGGTTTTCAATATTAACAATTTTATAATAGTTATCTAAGTAAATCCAATTAAAAGTTCAAAAGCAACATATAAAAGTTGTGAGATCGTTAAGGGATGTATTGCATAATGGGGATAATATTAGGAACTTAGATATTACAACAAGATGCGCGTAGATGTTCCCTATCTATTCTTGACTTAAAAAAAAGTCAACTGCACTATTTTGTGAATTCTATCGACAAATACAAATATCATAAAACTTGGCACGAATATCACTCTAAGCAAACTCGAGTCTAACATAGAAGCATTTATTAATTACCTATACAGTACACTTAATTTAGGATCTTCATTTATCGGGAAAATTGTCCAAAAAATCATACACCTATTACATTTTTGCCAATTCGGTCTTAAACATTTGCAATTTTGCTGATTGAATTATAAACCCTTTGTCAATCTGCCAATTGAGTCCATATGGGTAATTTTCGCCTGAATTCGCTAACGTGGATATCAACTATCCTATATGGCATAATCGATATTGACGCGAACGAATTTTAATAATATTTTTTGATTTTTTATTATTTTCCTGATTTTTTTTTCGTTTCTTCTTCCTTTCGCCAATGATCGGCCATAGCTAGGTGGGCTAGCCTCGCCTACTAAGGGTTGTCGTCACCTACCATAGGCAAGGCCCGCCTGGGCGAGGGTGAGCCCTGACGAGGGATGGCCTCGCTAGATCAGGCCTAGGCGAGGTCGACCCTTGCTAGATTGGGCAAGGTCAACCCTCGCCCAAACCAGGGCGACCTCACTAGATTTGGCGAGGCTCGCCCTCGCTTGGCCAGGCCTCACCTGTGGAGGCGATGGCGACCTTCTCCTAGTGAGACCAACCCCGCCTGGCCATCGCCTATGGTTGGTGCTCAATCACTAGCAAAAGAAGGAAGAAGAAGGGAAAAAAACTCATAAAAAATAGTAAAAATATTATTAAAAATTGTCCACGTCAGTAGCGGTTGTGCCACGTAAGACGATTGATATCCACGTTAACGAATTCGTAGCCTGCTAGACTCAATTGACAAAATGTAAAATGGTTTATGACTCAATTGGCAAAATTGAAAATTTTAAGATTAAATTGGCAAAAGTGCAATATGTTTAAAACTTTTTGGACAATTTTCCCTCATTTATCACAAAAATCACTTCTCCAAATTGACGTAATTTCAATGGCGAATCTTGTCATGTGTTAAAATTTACCAAAACCAATTTACTTGGATGGGTTAATACCATAAAAAACCTCAAACTATGTCCACTGTGACACAAATACGCTGAACTTTTTTTTGTGTCAGTAAAAACCCTAAATTTACCCATTGCTACACAAATTCTTCAAAAAAAAATTTGTGTCACGTAAAAACCCGATCTTATATCAGTTTGACAAATATACCCCCGAATAAAACTGAAATAGAGGGGTATATATGCACAAAAAAAAAGTTGAGGATATTTGTGTCTCAATGAACTGTTTAAAAAGTTTCGAATGTTTATGACATAATGAACGTAATTTGGAGTTTTTTGTGGTATTTGCCTTACTTACATTCTAAATTACTCTACTTTTTACCACTAAAGTGAATAGCCGAGTTAGTTAAATATTAATTCTCGTGCGGGTAGGGGTCTTCTTAGGCACGAGTTCTGGTCCCAATCGCCCATCCTTCTTGAGGAATCTTGATTTGTTCGTGGCGTTGCTCGCCTTGTGGCAAGTGTAGGATCACTCCCCAGGCTCTATTTATTAATATTTTTTGATTATTTATATTACTTACAAAAATAAATAAATAAAAAATATTTTTTTCATCTACAAAATATTTCCCTTGCAATTCATTTTCCGCATTATTTCTTATAAAAATGAATGAACAAACGAAAATATTTTCACCAATGAAATTATTGTCAATAATAAAAATATTTTTATAAACTAATTATTTCAAGTAGTCATTTTTGAGAAAATATTTCACAAATTAATTATTTTTTGCGAAACAATCGGGACCTAGACAATAATCGCTTTATAATGGCAACTAAGAAGTCGTAAACGAGACGACTATGTAGGAAAAATTTCAAGTAAGAGCATGAAGTGTCATCATTTTCTCAAACAAGGGCCTGAAGTTGATCTTATTTCAATTAAGGGCATGAAGTGCTCTCATTTTCTCAAATAAGGGCTTGAAGTGCACCTTATTTCAATTAAGGGCCTAAAGTTTTTAT